TCCCGGCAGGCCAGGACGGGGAAACCCTCGCCGCCTCTCCTGTCCTCCCTGGCAGCGCGGAGGGGGCAAGTTTTAAATGAATATGGTCCAAACTGCCTCCCGCTCCGCTAGTCCGTGGGCGGAGGACGGCTGTGGTGGTGGAGCATCTTGCAGAGCAGGGTCTAGCTCTCGGTCTCGGTGGTACAAGGTAGAAAAATCACGAAGGGTGCCGAATATATATTTTTTTAACTGCTTGAGGAGACTTCTCCTGGGAACGTGTCCAAACAGCTTGGAGTTTCTGCAACCCTTTGGCAAGGGCATAAAGAAACGTAATCTTAAGAGCTGTCAGAGTTGGAGATTTCAGAAGCGCTTGACCGTTTCTGAATACTGGATGGCTGGGTGATGCAGCATGCCTAAAGGGAGCGGGGTCAATGGTCGGGGTTGGGGTGAGATTTTTCTTGCTTCTGCTGGTAGCTGATTCAAAACTATTTCTCTCCCTCTTCACTTGTTTTTCTTGTAAATTAATGCTGTTGATTTGTTATGAACTGAGCAAGAAAAAGAAATACAAAGTATCTACGCTTTACGTTCCTGCATTGAGTTGGTCTCTTAGAGGATGTTTATGCTGCCTACTGGATAATTCTCTCGTTGCACAGGAGAATTACACGCTTGTACAAGTGCCAAGTGACTGGTACAAGCGTTGCTCTAATCTGTTGTTTAATCAGAGCCAAATGCAGGCTGGGGAAGTGGATGCCACAGCGCCGAGGTCACGAGGAGGGATCTGGTGGTGTTCTAGCGCAGAGATGATCTGAGAAACTGTGGTGCAGAAACCTGAATTCAGGCTTTGGCTTGCTTTCTGGTTTGACATTTGACTTCTTGTGCAACCGTTTCAGGTGCAGGAATTAACCTGCTGGGTTTTGGCTTTACGGGGTGGCAGAGAGGCGTAGTGGTGGAGCTCTGTGGACGTTGCTCAATGTTTTCATCGGGGGGCTTTGCCGTTGTGTTCGTTCCGGCCTTTTAGAAATCCTCCAAAGGGAGTCTCCAAGGCCTCAGAGCGCGAAATGATTTTCGCTTGGGGCAGGTGGGAGATCGTGGTGAAAGTACTATCTGTCACGTGTCAGTATCCTAAACAGAAATGCTCTTTTAAATTAGATGCAGAAAAAGGATTGTACTGCTTCCTCTAGAATAGCAGTTTTTTGAGCTTTTTTGTGGTTGTGCAGGCCTCGTTTGGACACCGGCTCCGTTGGGTTGAGAGCTTTAGTTTTTTTTATTTGCTTTGCTGTGCTCTGCCTGAGTATTGCCAAGCGGAGGCTTTCTCTTGCCACGGTGTCGTTTGTCAGCGTTCCTGTTAGCACAAGCCGCCAGAAAGGGTTCTGAATCTGGAGCACTGACATTTACGTGGAGCAGCACCGTTGCGTGGTTGACAGATGATGTGCCACTTTATCTCCACGAAGCGGTAACCACCTTTCAGCGCTCTCAGGTCATCTCTGGAGCCGACAGCACTGTACCTACTTGTTGTGTAAAGAAGATAAAGGCAGAGGTGCGCGTTCAGTGAGATTTTTTTCTAATTATTTTTCCTTCCTGAGGACTTCTGGAGAGAGGCAAGCACCTGGAGTCCAAATTTTGCCCAATTTAACTAAACTAATATTTAATCGGAGTGCTTTCAGGCTTGGGATAATTTATTATAACACTTGTATAGTTTTTAAGTCTTTCTGATACTTCTACGTGAGAATTAGGGTAGACAGCGCTGCTTTTTGTGGCAAGGAAAAGGCCTAAGAAAAGGTGTGTAAATCCCCCAACGATGCGGAAAAAATAAAATTACTTCCCCAAGTGGCTACACCATACTTTTGCTCTCAGGTAGCCCCACCTGGCAACGCAGCAAGGCAGTGTGTTGCTCTTTTTGTTCTTTTAGTCTTCTTTGTGGCAAACACACTTTGCTGCTTCCGCATAACAACAGCTCATTCTGTCCTGGGGGGGTCACTCTGCACGTATGGGGGAAAAAAAAGGCATCTGGTAGCTTGGTGTAGTGCCAGTATTCACACTGGCTTCCCAGATACTCCCGGCTTTGTCCTCGTTCCAAGAAGATGCTAGCTTTGAAACAGAGACCGCGAAAGGACTCTTAGACATCCAGCGTTCGCTGATGTTAGCGGAAAAAGCCTTCACGTGGGCAATAAACGTTATCTGCCTTGTTGGGATCTCTCTGTGCGTTTGACCCAAAAAATTGCTGTTGAACATAAACAATGGTGAGCAGCTCTTGAACACTCTTTTCTAGCACAAATTGTTGCATAGGCTTAAAATACTCTCATTTTGAACAAGGTAATCCAAATCTGCATTTAATATATAGGCAGTGTGACTAATCGCTGTGTTCATATGTTGTTTGTGGTGAAGCTATTTATATAGAGCAGCAGGCTGCGTATAGAGACACCACTTGGTGTGTGAAGACTCGTTATTTGCACCACTTCTTAGTGGATCAGGTAGAAAATGTTTCTTTTCTCTCCACAGCTTTGGTAATTGCTGACAACTTTCTGACGTGCATCAAAAACAGTGTGAATTTAAAACATAATTTTGTATTTTCTCACCGTATCTGATCTCCCAGTTCTTTGGCCGTGCGGGCTTTGGACTTTTAGGCAGTAGAGCACAATATACCTTGTGGCTGCTTATTTAATGTAAAGGTTCGGCTGCTGTGACTGCAAATCAGATTTTGCAGTTCTTGTTTCCTGGCCTGTAACAAATGTGAAGTGTGGTTTAACTGCATTAGAAAACCACAGGTGACTAGAAAAAGAGGCTACAGGAAATGACTTGTAGACTGATTTCTCTGTGATGGCAAATGCCTCCTCTAGCCTACGGTGGCTTAACTTTTATTTTGTTCCATCTGGATCACACTTATATTTAGGGCTGAGGAGAAGATTTGTTCTTAATGAGAGCCTACACTCCCACCCACACTTCCTGGAGAGAGTAGTGTTCAAACAATGTTCCAACAGTGCAGTTTTAAGGCTGGCTATTAAAAATACCCTTGATATTCCTCCTTCTCCAGGAAGGAGTTTGCCTGTGGTTCTCTCTCTTGCCTTTGCTGACTCTGTCCATCCATCTGTTTTTCCCCAGGACGGTGGTGCTCTCTCATGAGAGATTAAGCAGTGCCGCAGGATATTCCAGGGCTGGGTTTTTGTTTTGTTGAAAGCAATTTAGGAGAGTTTAGATGTGTACGCGCGCGTGTTACGGCTTTCCAGTTCTCCTGTTTCTCTACTTTGTATAAAACCGCTTAGTTGTCCTTGAATTACTGGGCCTCGGAGCGGCATCCTCAGGAGGCAGAAGCGGAATCTGCTGGGTAGCTGGAGTGCCTTCCTGACGTACATGTCGTTTGGAGGCAAGGTGCTCTGCCTTCCAATTAAGAAAGCACCATATTTGGCGAGCATCTTGGCAGGAAGAATGAGACCGATACACAAAATATGGCTAAGAGGAAACATATCTACACATCACAGGGCTGTAAATATGGTTAATGGCTGAAGAGTATTTGGATCCTCACATTCGGGAAAAAAAACTCCACACCCACAAAACAGTAACAGCACCGGTAATCATACTCTGACAGCCTATTGTAGTAAATGCAGTCCTTGGGGACACTTTTGTCGTCTAATATACAAGTTTCTTCAGCAGAAGAAGAAAAACAGTATGTCTGTCCTCATAAACAGGTTTTCAGGATATGAGAAAACATCATTCTGAAAAAATAAGTTAAGAATTATACCTCTATGAACTGGGACCTATTGCCTTTTTGCTGCAGTCATTCTTGCAAACTGATGATGCACCTAAAAGGCCAGAGGAGAATTTTCCACATTTGGCACCAAAATGCATTATTAAGGAAAGCGTTTGATGTGGAGAAATATCTTTTGGGGGGGCTGTGGGAGAGGAACCGTTCCTAGCTGCAGTACGTGCAAGTACACAAGGTTAGTACCGACCCTCCATTTTTACGACTCTCTTTTCCGAGTGTGAACCTGTCTCTGTAAGCAGCGTATTACTGTCTGTTGTGCAAGTTCCTCATTTGGATCCGGAACGCCTTGTCATTTGTGCAGTGGCCAGGCGGAAGCTTCTGAAGCCCTCTCCAGGAAGCAGGCAGATGCTACCTTGCTTGGTGGGCACCTGCCCACGTGAACGTCTTCCTTGCAGATTCCTTCAATGATTCCTGGTCTTCCTAGCGCTGATGACCGTTACATAGATCTGGACAGACCCCAGTTTGTGATCTGAGACTTTCATTTTTGCAGCAATATGGAAGATATTGCTGTGTTTGGTAGCTCTTAAGAGACTGCTGTTTTTGTGCCTACAATACTTGAGCTTTGCAGAAGCAGCGTGTTTGGGCTGTTCAGTTCCTAGATGCAGGCACAGTTTTCCTAATCTTTTCTAGGTAGTTTCTATCATTGACGCTTTAACGTGACTCGGAATAGGCATGTAGGAGGAGGCACAGTTAACGTATTCCTTTGGGCAGGGAATTCTCTTTGCTTTGAAGGTAAGGTGAGACTTGAGCGTCTAGATGATTTTTCAAGAAATAAATGTTTTGCCACCTTTTTATTTCAGCAGCTGTGATTGTGTATGTGTTTTGCACAGTTTAATAATGTTGGTGACAGGGCTACCTTCTGATGTGAGGCAAATGGAACATTTTGTTTGTGCCGTCTGGATTTGTTTTGGAGAAGAGGCAAGTAGCTGACGAGATTTACAATCTACATACAGCTCTGTGCTTGGACAGTGTAGTTGATTCTACTTGGGAGGTCTTAAGGGTATAAACAGGTAAGTATATTTTGCTTGCAAATAACACAAACTATATATTTTTCATTATGTTTCAGGGTGAAGGCTATCGTACCGTCCCCCTTTCTGGACATGTAGGATTTGACAGTTTGCCTGACCAGCTGGTTAATAAGTCAGTTAATCATGGTTTTTGTTTCAACATCCTGTGTGTGGGTGAGTATTTCCATTTTTGGGAAGTTCTGTTGCTGAACTGTGTTGCTTTGCAGCTGGATGTAGCTTATAGGATATAGAGTTAACAAGGTAGCTTTGATTTAAATTTTTCCCCCTCACTCTGTCTATTTTCGGTAACAAAATTTACTGGTGTCCTGGGAAATCCCTGCTGGGATTATGCAGTATGGCATTGTACCAAGCAATGAACCACAGAAATAAAATGCCTGAAATCCCAGGCTTTTAGTATGATCTTTATTTTCCTAGTATGTTTCAATTTAATGTTTTTAAAAGAAAACAGATATTCATGCCAGAGAGCTTTATTCTGAAGTCTTGTTTGGTTAGATATTGAATTATTATTATTGTTGTTGTTATTTAAACAAAATACCATCCATGCTCCTCTTGAAGCACTAAAAGATATTTTTTTCTACTCCCTTCTGTGCATGTTTGAATTAAAATAGTGTTTGGCCAAGCCGTAGCTGGTCAGGCGGTTATCCAAGCTGCCATGTGGTCGCGCATCTCAGCAGGGGCCTGGCACTACTGTAGGACTTGGTGTCTGTCCCCACAGCGTCTGCCAGTCTCTCAGGTCTTTCCCGGGATTAGGATCCCAAATGGTCCCTCCTCAGAGGCACTCCCGGGTAACAGCAGTGTGGTTTTGCATGGTATCTTGGTAAGGTGGATAAGGGAATTAATAATAGGGGACTAATAATCGTCTCATAGGACGGTTATTTTGGTGTGCTGATGCCCGTGCCCCGTCCCTGGGAGCAGAAGGTTATTGTGCGGCCGTGGCTGCTCAGAGGTAGCCGCGTCTGCAGATGCTCCCGGTGGTGCGGGGCGGCAGCAGCAGCAGCAGCAGCTGATGCCTCCTGGGGCTCATCTCAGCTGGGGGTCAGCTCGCCAGCTGCACAGAAGTTAGGCGTCCCTTTCCAGGAGAGATCCAGCGTGTGGTGTGGACCCTAGTGCTCACCCAGGACAGGGTTAAGTCTGAGACGAGAGGAGTACAGCAAGGAAAGCGGAGCCCTGTTAAACGGAGCTGAGAGGAAAACTTTCCCTGACCGTGGCGTTCCTGTGAGATGATAACCTTTGTTGACAAGTGGAGGTCACTGTCAGGCTGAGTCGCTAGGTGATTTCCACAGTACGTGAGTGTGATTTGACCTAGTGAAACTCTCCTGTCCCAAAGACTGAAGTCTTACAGTATTTCCTTTTGTGCTTACTGAGCTGCTGTTTTTTTTCCCTAGAAGTTACACGTGCGGCAGCAAATGCCTCTTGTGGTTATACGTTCACCTTGATGTGTGGAAAGCAGTTGACTACCTCTGCTTTCCTCTGCAGAGCAGAAGAGGAATGCATTAATCACATGTCAGTGTGAATAACAAAAGCTCACCAAGATTAATGTGCGTTCGTTATTAATGTCAGTCTTTTATGAGTAGTAACAACACAGACGTGGTTGATCTTGAAATAAAGAAATTGTATAGAAAATCTTAATAAGTTTCATTAGACAAAGGTCTGCACATCTTTAATTGAGGGCCTCAGGCTTTAAAATGTCTTCTCCTGAGCCTCTGTTAACTTCTAGTAACAAAGTTGAACTCTTAAACATCCTGCAGAAGGAAAACAAACAAGACCTGGAATCCATCTGTCGTTTAGTCTGTTGGGTCTCACTGGTACAACAGGAGTTTGGGGTGTAAAATTGACAATGCAGAGAGCGAATGAGAATTGGAGCCAACAAAACAGGAAACGGGCGAACTGATCCCCGTAGTCAGGCCACTGAACATGACGGAAATGCACTTCAGTTTTCCCCATTTTTAAGTTGTGTGTAGCATTTGTTGGAGGAAAAATCCAGTGGCAATTTTACTCTGCACCATACTGGATCTGAGCCGCTGATTCCTCTGGCTCCTGGTGGCAGAGCCAAGGAAAGCTTCAGAAATGGCTCTCAGCAGTACATCCAGATTAGAGCAATTTTTAGCTGTTCTCCTGCTGCAAGCTGTCTCCTCTTTGAGACTAGAGCCAAGGACAGAGTAAATGAGCAAACCTCCCAGAATAAGTTAGGGATTGTGAATGGTTTCTCTTATATTTTATCCCTCAGTGTCATTGTTTTCTCCTAAAGCTTCAGTGCTAAATGTTCGTTGCCTCTTGGTTCAGTGCAGGGACTGGAGAAGTATTTAATGGCTGAGACAGGGTGTTTGTGCTGGCTGCATTGCTCAGGGAGATGGAGGAACAGGCTGAGAATTTTTTTGTGAACTTTCTCAGTTTTGGTCAGGGTAGATTATAGTTGTATTAGACTGGTATCCCATTATAAGCAGGAATTTCTCTCTTCCTTCCTCCCAGGATTTGCAGGGGATTTGTCCTAAGCAGCCTATTCAGTGCAATGAAAAACCGCTATTTTGCTGCAGTACCTTCCCTTTTGCCAGGGGCTGTACCAAACCTGCTCGAGGACTCTCACAAAGAACGGTCCCTGTTTTGGGGGGAGAGAGAGGCAGTATTTCTATTATTTGTGTCACATGTATTCAGCAGCTTCCAAACGGGACCCAGCAGTTTTTGGCTTTTCAGCATTCAATCTGTGCTGGAATTACCCTGGATTCAGGGTAATATATCATGGGGACCACGGGAGTATATTCTGAGGCGTTACCCCAACTGGGTTATTGTAAAGATGCAAGTAAGTTTACCCTCGTCCTGGGCTCCGAACAAGGGAGCTGCTTGGCACGCAGGAGCTCTCCTCAGCTGGGGAAAGGAGGGACGGGCACAGGTTTCCTCATGCAGAGCTGCTGTCCGCTCTCCAGCGGGCAGCCTTCAGTGGGGTGATGAATCTGTAATGCCTGGAAGCTGCCAAATGATTGGTTTTATGGTCACTGGTGCGACCAGCCGAGGAGGGAACAGGGATTCTCCAACCAAAAAGTCATCGGTCTCCTCAGCCCCCTCGCCGCTGGTCTCTGGGGCAGATGGCAGCAGTACGTCTGCTCGGAGGCTGGGAGGCTGTCTAGTCCTTCAAGGCACTTGAGCATCTCTTGTGAACCCTTGTTCCTCTTCTTGCCCTCCAAAGCCCAGCGTTTGCCTTGTGATGGATGAACTGTGCAGCATCTCTGTATGCCTGTCAGATGAAAAGAACTATTTTTTCCTCTCTCCATAAGAGACAGCCTTATCAGGCTGAGCTGCCTCAGGGCTTGCCTCAGCAAACCTGCTACGCTGGATTAGCTCCCGTTTCCTCACATGAAAGGGCTGTGCATGCATATACATTTTCTTTAAGATTGGATTGTTTGATCTCTGGAGCCGTGGGTTGTTAATCTCCTGAAGGACAGGTGTTGCTCTCTCTTGCAGTGAATCCATCTGAGAGCTGCTCCATGCCTCTGAACAACTAAATATGCCAAGCACTACCCTGTCCTCTAAGAGAGTCGGTTAAGGATGATATGATCAGGACCTCTTAAATCCTGAGTGATGCGGAGAAGGCGACCAGTGAGCAGTTGCTTGTTATTTCGCATAACATGTATGAGGGGATAGCAAATTGAATCACCAGGCTCAAAAAGGAAAAGGAGGTACTGCTTTCACAGTGTATAGTTCAGCTTCCTGCTGTGGGATGCTTTGGATGCCAAAACCTCTGTGGAAGAAAGAAGCCATTGAGACACATAATGCACCAAGATACCTCTCCTGCCTGGGGACGGTGGAGAAGGTAGTGAAGGAGCGTTTGCTGCCTATGCGGCTTCTTCTTTTCCTCCTTTGCCTTAGCTGGTGCCCAGCGTCAGTGGCAGGGCATGGTAACGGGATGGGCAGGGCCTTTCCACCTCACCTAGAACGACCGGCCTTGTGCAGCCCTCTTGTTTCTTGCCTGCGCATCTTGTGGTGTGCCTCTTTGTGATACCAGCCGACGGCAAGGATCGCTCGCTCCTGCAGCAGTGATGCTTGGTGTGTTTTGGCGCAGACTTTGCCTGGTCCCCAGCTTTGGAGAGCCCACCCAGAGAGACCTGGAGAGTGGAGCAAGGCCCTGCCTAGGCAGCGCAGGGAAGGCAGCTGGGTCCCAAAGCAGAGGCAGAGGACCTCTACATGCAGTGGCTGAGAGGAAGAGAGTGGGGCTTGCCCCCAACCCTTATTGCATATGTATGAGCCGTGTTTCTGCAGGTGGTGCCACCACTCTGCCAGAAAATGATTTGATGAACCATTTCCCTAGAGCATTGCAGACAGCAGACGCAAGTGCAGGTGTGAGCAGGGAGCCGTCTCAGGAAACCGCAAGAAGGTGCAGGGAGCCTGGCAGAGCCTCTCGAGCCTGGCAGGCTGTGAGGTGTTAAGAGTGGATGGTGCTTTCAGGACACTGGCTTAGGATTGCCGCATATCCAGAGTCTCACTGCTGTGGTGTTTCTTACTGTCTATTTTTATCTGAAAACCAGGAGACTTAAAAGCAAAAATCCATCCCATACTCAAAGGCACAATGCTATTGCTTTTCAATAGCTGTCTGAGCTTCCTGATGTAGAAATCTAACAATAAAGGTCTCTGTTCCTACCTTGTCCACCCCACAGCGCATTGCCAGCCCTGCTTCTGGGGAGCAGACCACTGCAGAGTTGCGTAATCCTTAAGTACAGTTTTGGAGATTAAGTCACATGTGTGCATATAAGCCTGACATCAGGAATTAATCTCCCTGCCAAGGACGCCTCTCGCTCAATTTGCGTACACCACTGCTTGTTCCACGGTAATTCTGCCTCCCTTAATCCCCATTCATTGTTTCTGTTTTTTGGAGAAGATTCCAGGGCTGTCGGCTGGAACGAGCACAGGCTGCTTGTCCTTTTCATCAGACCATCTGTTCCATCTGGACTGCTGTCCTTACAAGAAGCAGTCGGCACCATTTACATCTTCCAGCCAGCAGAAAGTCGCCTGTGTCAGGCAGAAACTCCCAGGAGGTTCAGAAATTCACCGTTCTAGCGTTTGGCCCTTCAAAGTAGCACTGCTCCCTAGCTCCGGTCATGTCTGACACAGCAAAGCACTTTATTAGCACCTTCAATCTGCGACCATTTGAAGTCGTTCCGTTAGTGTTAATGCCGTGTTTCTTTGAGCTGAGACAGTCGTTTCAATCTCTTCCATCGTCCTTTTCCCTTTTAGGCTTTTAATGCCATGCTGCATCAGGGGTGGGGGGCATTTAAACAGTGCAGGGGTTGGTTTATATGCTGGCCAAATCTAATTGTTGCTATGTAAACTTCAGATTTGTGATGCTCTGTTAACGGCTGTGTTTTCTTTCTGTTTTTTGTTTTTTTTTTTTTTAATACACATAGTTGCAGATATTTGGATGGGAAATTCTCACCTGTATAGTCAGGTCTAATCAGGTTAGATCTTCCAAAAAAGAAAATCTTTGTGTGTGAATTCAAAGTTGTCTTTAGTGGCCCTGTGTAGCTTCCATTAAAGGAGGTATACAAGCATGCTCTGCCTTAACAAATTGCCTGCGTCTCCTCGGCTCTTCTCCCCTGCCCTTTGGGGCCGGCCGTGGGACGGAGAACGCAGGTGAGCAGCGCAGGAGGGCGCTTGCAGCCTGGCGTGCTGCCGCCGCTCCCTGCAAGGCTGCCTCTGCTGCCTCCCTGCCCCAAAACGCCCCAGGAGGGGTCCTGGCGTCCGCAGGCAGGCAGCCAGCCAGCTCTCTGCCCCGTCCCACCCATCCAGGCAGTAACCCTTGGCAGGGGTTCTGGAAATGCTTCAGCCTTCTCAGGCTGTTTAGATTTTTGTCTTTTTTTACCCCGCCGTGTTCCTGGAATCCCTGAGAAAGGCCTGGCGGGGTCGCGGCAGGCTCTGCCGCAGCTTGCGTTAACCCTTGCTGTCCCATCCGAGCCGTGGTGGTGCCCTGGTCTGCTATGCTGTGTGCACCTGCTGCCCGTCTGGGCCAGGCGGTACCCAACGGGCCCTTGACTTGGCTGCAAGAGTCCAAGTGAATCCACGGCTTGTCGGTAATGAGCCATCAGTCTTGTAGATGTTCCTACCCCCTCTTCCAGTCGGACTGATTTGTCTCCTCCTTGACAGAGATAAGCGTGTGCTTTTCTGTGCCCCCTCCCTTCCTCTCGGGCTGGCGCGCTCTGGTGGGTGGTGGTGTAAACACGGCTGATGCATTAACATAGCACAGAGGAGCAATGCCAGCTCGTGGTGTTGACTCTCTTTTCTCCCCCTCGTGTTGCAGACAATGTTTGGCACAAAGATAGGTGTGAAGAGCAACTTGATTTGTGGCTGTTCTGGCTCCGGTTGGCGTTTATCAACGATAGGGCACAAGCTAGTAGCTGGCTCCTCATTCTGCTTTGCAGCTCAAAGTGTACGTTGACTTTCAAGTGTTAGTGAATCTTGCTGACTTCTGGAAAGATATTTGATATACGGTCCTGGCAATCAGAGCTTGCTGTCCCCAGGGCAGTGCGTGCTTGCCCTGCCCTGCCTGCCGTGTACTGCAGCCTTGAGCTGGAGAAGTCTCCTCCAGGGCCAAGGGAGAGGAGTTTGCCTGCTTGCAGGGGTGAGGCACAGAGATTTGGATGGGGGAGGAAAGGGAGGAGTTTCCCCTTATTGAATTGGGCATTTCATGCAAGTTTGGATCTGTTGCAGTGCTCTAAGCTTACAAAAATCAGAAGCTCTTTTCTTCTGAGGAGAGTAGGAAAAGATGAAGTTGTCTCGGTTGGGAGCTGAGGGAGGGGGAGGCCGCTCTGGCAAGACACAGTCTCCTTGTGGTCCTGGAGCGCGCTGGCTGAGCAGCCTTCGCGATGGGTGCGGTTCGGCCAGCTGCTGAAACTTCAGCAAAAGCCAACTGGGCAGCTCAGAAATCTTCATTTCCCCAAAATACAACAGTCTTCACAGGGCAGCAGAGCAGACTGCTTATGGATCTAGCATGATCCTTTGAGCTTGGAAAGCTAGCTCCGTTGTCAGGCTGCCCTATGAAATAAGCGCACCGAGGGTTTTGTTTTGTTCTCCCTAGGACGTATCTAAAACAAATTTAAGATCGGTCTCTGGGATTTGTCTCTTCCTTCCAGATAAGGAAATACGCTCTCCCATGGATAGATGGAATCTGAGCAGTAGTTCAGTGCTGCAGAACTATTGGAAGCGGATTTGGGCGTTTTATGTAACTTCTGAAGCTGCTAATGTGCAGAAACCAGATATTGCAGAAAAGGTCCCTTCCCAGACTAGAAAGCTGATCCCCCGACTTGATCTGTTGTGCGTACGAGAAACCAACTGCACAACTTGTAGAACTGGAACCGCATTGCAGTGTTTCTGCACGGAAGGAAGCTATTTCAGTGGTGGCTTATTACAGAATTGTTAATCTGGATCATCTTTTTCTGGAGATGGCAACGAGCCCCATGTACCCCTCCCTATTTTAATGAAAAAAGCATCTTCTGTAGTGTAGTGATGGATTTGTGCGGGATTCAAATGCGGCCTTCCCATTTGCCTTTTCACCTCTTTCTTTCCATCTCTATTTTCTAATGATATTAATGGCCATTAGACTGTGTAACATAATTTGCCCGGAATACAGACCTCCCTTTGTATGCGGCTTTCTGCTTGGCAGACGATCTCTTTGGAGCATGAGATCTGCTTTCGTCTGCTACAATTTCACCCCTGTTAAAGTTTGGATGCTGAAAGACTGAGCCATATTAATGTTGAACAAAACATGTTGACCTCCTTTTTCTCCAATAGGGGAAACTGGCCTTGGTAAGTCCACACTCATGGACACACTTTTTAACACCAAGTTTGAAGGTGACCCAGCCTCTCACTCACAGCCTGGGGTCCAGCTGAAATCTAATACCTATGACCTGCAGGAGAGCAATGTCAACCTCAAACTGACTATTGTGAGCACAGTTGGCTTCGGGGATCAGATCAACAAAGAGGACAGGTGAGTGAAGCAGAGAGGGGCTATGTCATGACCTGGTTCTCTCTTACAGGGGCTCCTCTTGTGTCCTAGCTGGGCCAGACGGCATTTATAATAAAGTTCTCGTCCTTTCTTATGAATCATCCTTATCTTTTTGGGAGGAGAGAGAGAGAGGAGAGAGTCCTGTGGTGTCAGCACTGCTCCGGCTATCAAAGCAGTTTTCCCTGTGCGGTCAGGACAATAGCTGTCCTGCTGGCAGCCTTCTGCCCAAATTCATCTGGTGGGGGGAGCAGAGAGCTCCAGGGCATTTCTGTGCTTGTTTCCTTGTGCTACGCTGAACGCAAGCTGCTCACCAAACCACTAGCGTGGTCTAGTGACCGTTTTGCTTAACAGCCGCTTTTTGGCAGGGCTCTTCTATCTTACCAAAGGAAGCATGATAAATGTTCAGCGAAATACTCTGGGGAAATGTTTCTGGCAGCTCAAGTCCCAGTGTGGCTGGAGCATGGTGTGGGGCCAGGCAAGGGTGTGTGATTACACCAGAGCCTCTCCACCAGACCACAGCTTCACAGAAGCACTGGAGATGGGGTTTGCTTTGTTGTGCATCTTTTAGATTTTCTTTTATTTTGTTTAGAACACACTAATGTCCTTTACATGCGAGTCTGACAGTCCCTGTATTTCAAATTGCCCTGCAAGAGAGTTGCAGGGATTTCCTGTCCTGGAGCGCTGGTCAAAGGTGGTACTGAGTGGAGGTGCATCTGCGCCGGCACGACGTGAGGCTGTGAGAGTGGCAAGCTGTTTCCTCCCTGAAAGGAAGCAAGGGTTACCGACTGCTGCGAATGAGTCTACTTTATGTTTTCTTTTAAAACCTTCTCACCCTCATGTTTCAAAATATGAGTGGCTGCTTTCTCTGGAAGAGATTACTCTATAGCTAGCCCTTTAAATGGTGTTTCTCTTATCCTCTGCTGAATGTCCAGTAATGTGTTTTGTCAGATAGGCTGCTAGATGCTGATGTAGGACCACATCTCCTTGTCACTAGTGCAACATTTAAATTTCTTACAGCAGGGGAGTGGGAGAGATTCAGAGGATATCTGGTCCTGGTTATTCAGAGGATAACTGGATAAGTGAGATCTAGCAAGCAGCTCATTTCTGAAAAGCAAGCTAAGGAGCATTGTCTGTTTACCTCTCTGATTGCGAGACGTGTAACTTTTTTTCTGTTCCCCAAAGCTATAAGCCCATCGTCGAGTTCATTGATGCTCAGTTTGAAGCCTATTTGCAAGAAGAACTGAAGATAAAGAGGGTCTTGCACAACTACCACGACACCCGAATCCATGCTTGTTTGTACTTCATTGCTCCGACAGGCCACTCACTGAAATCCCTGGACTTGGTAACAATGAAGAAGCTTGACAGCAAGGTAGGAACATTTAACCATCTCGCATGTGGTGGGAATGCTGCTGCTCTCCCAGGGCGCATTTCCCCCCCTTGCATACTCCTTATGCTAGTGGAGATTACTGGGTTGCCAGGTAAATCCTGTAGTTTTAGTGAGCACTTTTAAGTTTTCCTAAGTTGCAATGTAGACTTGGAAAAACTACCTGGAGCAAAGCTCAAGGCTTCTTATGATTCTCTTTCTTTCTAGGTCAACATCATTCCCATCATTGCCAAATCGGATGCCATTTCCAAGAGTGAGCTGACCAAATTTAAAATCAAAATCACAAGTGAACTGGTCAGTAACGGTGTTCAGATCTACCAGTTCCCAACAGATGATGAATCGGTGGCAGAGATAAATGGGACAATGAATGTAAGTGATTTGGCCCTTTCTCTTCTCCCAGAACAGCACACTGTCACTGTGGAGTCTGTGGCCAGCCCGGGGGTGTTTCATTCAACCCATTTTCCTTTTCATTCTGCTTCTTAAAAACAGGATTTTTCAGAGATCTCAATCTACTAGGATGTAGTATCATTCTCGATAAGCAGAGTTTTGCTGTGGGTTACTGCCTCTAGGATGGGCTTTTCTAGTCAGAAAACAGATGGTCTTTTAACCCCTTCCTTCTCCTAAAGCATATGTGTTGAAGGACCTGCAGGAAATTGAGCAGATGGTGAGGTCTAGTTGTGCAGGGCAAGGGCAGTCCTGGGTTATGAACTAATCGGATGAGTATCATCTCTCTGGGGTGAGAGGCAGGCTGTCTACAGCTCTTTGCCCTGTGTTTCTTTCACTAAGTGGTTTTGCTCTCCTGGGCTGGTGTTTCTTGTGAAGCCATCTCCATGGGGGTCTCCTCTTGTCCATGACTGTCCTTACAGCAGAGCCCTGACCAGCTCTGGTACTCTGCTCTGTTCTGAGTTGCTGTTTCATTATTTAACTAGTTACTTAGCTGGGTCCTTGGGCTAGCGTTGGTGAAAGAAGGTGCTGTCATCCAGAACGGATGGGCCGGGGGTGGGGGGGGTCGTCTAACGAGGCTGATTAGAGCAATGGTTCCCTTCCCACAAAAAACTTTGGCTATGTCCAAGTGCTGATGTGAGAAATATGTACTGTATTTGTAAAACACAAGGATTGGGCCAGAGGTCTGTCCAGCCCAGTGGCCTTTCTCTTCCCCGAGCATGTGTTTTTTGTCACTCTTGGAGTATGTAAGAGAGGGGAGGTATACAATGATTTCCCCAAATGCTTCAGCCTCTGCCCCGTTCAAGGAATTCTCAACAGATTTTGGCCTCATGAATTGCCTAGTCCTCCCTGGTGAACTTCCAGTATCCTGCGGTGAGCAGTTACACATCTTAACCCCCAACATGTGAAAAACAAGGCACACGTCTCGGGGTGCCTGGTGGGGGGGGCACTTTCTGGCTTGGACGTTCCCAGCACCGTGGGTGCCTGTCTGCGGCTCCCTGCAGACGGAGCGAGCTGTCCCTTGGCCTTCTGGGAGTGCGTCCTGCCCCCATATTCAAAAAGGCTTTACAGGAGAGAAAGCAGAGGAATGTGCTGTTTTAACTGCTGCTGCTGAAGTATAGGTTGCAGTCTGGGTGCTTTTGTCTTCGCTCTTGATCTAATATTAATAGTTGTACAGTGTTGTGAAGAGGCCTGAATGAAGTGTGAAGTTTGTCCTACCATAAGAGCTTTGTGGGGTGCTTTCTTGGTCAGGGTACTTTTGTGATGGTCTTACTCAGTGCTTAATGCTCTCACTATGTAAGACTGAAAATACCCCTGGAAATGAAGATACAACATCCCCCAGTTCCCGAGGAACTGGAGGGATGTGATGGCAAAGGGAGAAGTGGTCTCTCCCCTCGGCCCTTCTGAGGGTGGAGGTAAACCTCTCCTCATCAGGAGGAATTGCTGTCTTGGGTCGTAGACGCTCTGGGTTGTATGAACCACTGAACAGAGAGATCATCTCTTTAAATCCTCCGTTGAACTGATATAAATCATAATTACCAGGTTTATGGGAATCAAGCAGGCAGGAATCTGAATCTGATCAAGGCTGTTTTGTGGACTTGGAAAACTTGTATCCAAATATTGGTTTTATTAACAACATAAGACAAATCTCCTTGTTTCAGGTCAGGAGATGAGTTTGTGAAGGAATTGAGACCAGTAAAAGAACCAGGATGGGCTGATTTAAGTTTGTGACTTAAATTGCCAATTTTAATCATGTTTTACATTGGGGGATGGAAAGCTTTGGTTTAAACGGCCTGTCTTTAGCCCTTGTGTTTGTCCTTCTCTACAGAAAGCTTCATTGTCTTTGCCAGTTAGAGATCAACATCTTTGAAAGGTTATAAATGTAATTTTCATGGTAAGGTAGTGCTTATTTGCTGATCAGCACACACTCTGTATAACCTGACCAGTTACTTTATTTTTTTTAATTATAGATGACATTGAGAATGCTCTTTGGATTATCTGATGTTTTACTTATAGCCTGTATTGGGTGTCTTTTACATGAAAAGTAAAATTAGATTTAAAAACACACACTCACTATTTAACCTGTGTTTTAGTTAATCATATTTACAATATCCATTATGCTGGATGCATGAGGAATCTTTTTCAGAGTATTTTGCACCCAAAACTGACCTAAACAAAGGAAATATTGCCTGGTCTGTGAGGAACTGGCGCCCTGACAGATTTAAAATCTGTGCCATCGTGATGAGAAACAAAATTATTTAATGATAAACGCAAGTGTCGAGTGCAGTATTTAAAAATAATCGGATTAAACGAATCTTCAGAACAAGATGCCTAATCTTCCTTGAAATTTATTTGACCTTTTTGAAAATCCCACTAAGCACACGTAGAAGTTCAGAGACGCAGAGGCCGCTTGAACACGCATTCCAGACTTCTTTACCTCTCCTCCCACCTGGATCTTATTCATAACTCATAATAAGAAAAACAAGCTCTCCAATTCTGTGAATCCCCAATTGGCTCTTCCGTTTTGAATGAACTAGTCTAATTATTGAAGGAGATATTCTCCCTGCACCTGCCAGTTAAATGCAACCACATAACAGCTAACAGGAGCTGTGCCACACAGTCGAAGCGAGAAGTTGCGTGCTCACGGAAAAGGCAGATCGCTGGCACTTTCTCCCTTGTAAAGCCAGCAGCAAAACCTGGGGTTTCTGCCACTGGCCAGGGCGCTCCTCGCGCTCCCGTCGCTCGCTCGCTTTGTCACTGTGGAAAGCCCCTTAGCTCATTCTTTCGGATGCCTGAGTATAAAGGAAACCAAAAGCTTTTCCAACGGTGCGAGAAGCTCCTGAAGGGGAGCCAACGGGGACATCTGAAATGGTAGGCTGGGGAAGAGGAGAAAAGCGGGCAGCTCTGGTGGCCCGTGGGGCAGAGGGTCACCAACAGGGAGTGCAATGCCTATAGCAAACATTAGTGTGATCCCGCGCCTGAGAGCGGGAACGGCGTGGGCACGGCCCACGCGCTGGCTGGCCTGAGCCTGAAACCTCTCAGCTGCCGCACACCTGTAATGACTTCCTCTGGAAAGAGCTCTGTGCAGGCCCAAAGGGGAGGCTGCAGCCTTTGTGGGCCTTAGTGTCTGGGGCGTTTCTGAGCTTCTAGCAATGGGACAGAGGTACAGACCCAGTCCAGCGTGTCCCGTAGCGAGGAGCCCAAGCTGCAGTTGGGCACTGGTCAGGCTCTTCAGCATCCCTCAAGTCCCCGTGGTGGGATGTCTCCAGCTCCTCCCAGAGCAGCCAAAGGCAGAATACAGCCTGTGCTCAGCCCCATGAGGTCTCCCCTCGCCCTCTCTCCCGTGAGGATATCTGGGAGCAGCTGGGCAAGAGGATGCCATGGGACACGCAAGTCCTGTTCGCAGCTCGTGGGCACCAGCCCCCACGACGTTGCTTGGCTCCACGTGCAGAGGTGTTTGTGGATAATGCTGCTGCTTGTGCGGGTTCACTCTTTGAAGGCAGGAAAAGCTACAGCTTCTTGAAAAGAGGGAGCAGATTCTTTCTTTGAAAGCTGGCTAGGGGGTTTCCCTCACGGTTTGTGCATGGGGAGGGGTGTTCAGTTGGGTCAGCTTTGTTTCCTTCCCCTCGAGCGATTTTTACTCCCTGCCCTTTGCGATTAGACAGCCCTCCGCTGAAAATCAGATTCCTTCTACCTGGGAGACCACTTTCCTTTTTTTTGCTGCTTGGCCTCTCCTGCAGAGAACTAACCCTGAGCAGAACAGGCCCAGCTCTGCGCTGACATGCGTCCCTGCAGGCACCGGCACGTCAGCATCGTTGCAAAGGTAACTCTGCGTGGAGAGTGATCCAGGAGGCCCCCGCGCTCAGAGCCGTGGCACGGCCCAGCACAGCCCCCAGGCTGACGCCAGCCCTGCTTATTCTGTGTGTCCCACGCAGAACTGGGAGGCCTCGGAGGAGAAGCTGAGCAGCTGCTCTTTGAGTGCTTGCGAGCAGTTTTGCTTAATTTGCCGTTTGACTGTATGAGCTGCACTCTGAAACTGGAAAACATCATCCTTGAAACCTTGTGCTTGTACCAACTGTCACTCAGTCCTCAAGTTTTCAAATAACTTGTGGAATTAGGGCTTCACTGCCTGTTCCTGTGAGCAATCCGGGGTCGTTGATCTTCCATATAATTGGCATCCTGGGGCTGTTTTAATTGCCCAGACCTCAGTGCAGCTTAAAGGGTCTAGCTGACAAAAGTCAGCATAAGAGGTGGGTGTGGGGAGCGCGTGACTTTGTTTTTAAGTGCTGAAACCTTGCGTTTGACTTCCTTGCAGCTTGGCAGAACGCAGTGTAGTTCCCAGGAGCAAGCAGAGGTGGGGAAAAATATCACTTGTTGCACAACAGATACATGCAGCAAAGTAAGGTAGCAGTGTCTGGGAGGTTTGCTTGGCTGCTTGATTTGGAGGGGTGGGGGGAGTGCAGGGTGAGGTCTGAGCCTGGAGAGGGGTCAGGAGCATTGCTGTTCCAGCCCTGCTCAGCTTGCATTGGGCAAGTCTTAGTCTCTCTGCAGAAAGCAAAAAGCGTCTTCTTTACTAGGAACTGACTATTTTGTGTTTCTGGATTTTGGAAAAGTAAATGCCTCCTGTTCTTGGTCAGCCTTTAGGGACTTGGAACAACTGTACTTTGTGGAGTTTGTGTCTAGGTTTGAAGAGCATGACGAGATGGTGGCACGGTTAAGCTAGTGGTGCCAGCTGTGCTCTGTTTTCCCTAAGATCCCTCCTTGTGGGTGTGCGCCCTGCATTTGGCCACCTTTGTCCTCTTGCTGTGCAGCCATCCATCAGTGGCTGTGTTTAGCATCAGCGTCGTGAGGATTTTATAAAGCGATCACAGTGCCTTTGGGTCTTTTCTCAGGTTCTGAGAAATTCGGTTTTGATAAAAGACTGCTGTGGGGATTGGGAGAGGGGGTGCCGCAGGTGAACCCCAACATAAGCCACGGAGTGTGTGAGTAACTGTGAAGCGTTAGCACAGGGCAGTCTCAGCGCAGCCCTGGTGAACACAGGGCCCTTCCCTGCCCAGCCCAGGGCAGACGTCAGGGCATGCGTGGAGGCAGAGGCTGACCCACCGCAGACACGTGTTCAGCCCTCCTTCACCAGGGCTGCAGCAAGCAGGGAGGAAAGAGCTGTTACTCTGGAGGTGAAGAAGGTACTTTGGTCTCCTGATATGATAGAGCAAGCTGTCTGGTGCTCCTGTGTGAGCCGAGGGACTGGGGGAGGGAGGCGTGTAACATCATTCCAAGACCTCTTTTACAGCTTCTGTGCTTGTGCAGATGTTCTCCTCAGCCCTGGCAAGCCCCCGGGACACCACCACAGCCAGAGCCACACAGCGCGTTGTTCGAGCTGTCTTTCTGATGCTAGTCTTGCACTGGCTCATCTCACCTGAGACCCGGTGGCTGGGAGGATCAGCCAGGTAGAGGAAATAGAGTGGTAGTGCTAACAAGGTTTCCAAAAAGGACCCTTCCTTCTCCCCTATCCCTTGTCTTGGGCTAGTGGCCAGTGACTAGACTCCCTGAGATTAGCCTGTGTGTAATGACTGTCTTGCACAGTGGCTGTGCTAATCTCTATGTGCCATCAAGTCAGCCAGAGTTGAGAGGGACTAATGAGGGTTGCATTAAATGTGTTCCAGGCCCACTTGCCATTTGCGGTGATCGGCAGCACGGAGGAGCTGAAAATAGGAAACAAAATGATGAAAGCTCGTCAGTACCCCTGGGGCACAGTGCAGGGTGAGTTGATCCCATGGCATGAATGGTGACACTTCTGCAAGGAGGCAGTAGGCTCTCATAAAAGGAGCAAGGGATGCCCTGATCCTGTTTATGGCACTGCTGTTGACTTGGGTCCTGCTGGGCTTCAGTTTCTCACTGGGGATTATCCTTCCTTAAATCTTTGTGTCAGGCCTATAGCTACAGTTATCTCTGGTTGGAAGGGGTATTAAGCCTTCTGGAGGAATAGACAGGTGGAGAGTATGGGGAGAGACCAGTCTCTGCCCTCATCTTACTCTTTATTGTGTCATCTTACAGTGGAGAATGAGGCTCACTGTGACTTTGTGAAACTGCGCGAGATGCTGATCCGTGTGAACATGGAAGACCTTCGTGAACAGACCCACACGCGCCACTATGAGCTGTACAGGCGATGTAAACTGGAAGAGATGGGTTTCAAGGACACCGATCCAGACAGCAAGCCCTTCAGGTGGGATCTCTGGAGGAGACAGGAGAGCTCAAGGGAGCATTATTGGATGCACCGTGTGTGTGTGTGTGTGTCCTTGAGAGGGCATGTAAAGAACCAATGCAGCAAGAAAACCTGCCAGGTCAGATAAAGCCAGACTTCAGCAAAGGTGCTGGCTGGGTGAGAGAAGGGGAAAGCACAGACACTGTGTTAGGGATTGATCATGAAAAGGCAGGTACAGGAGGAGAAATGTCAGTGCTTCAGAGATACAGCAGAGTCCCTCTGAACTGCAGCTTGTTGACAGTTACTCTCCTTGAATTGCCCAAAGTTTAATGTGCAGGAAAAGTGCAATAGCTCACAGACTCAGAAATGAGGGGATAAAGAAGTCCTTGGGGGGGACACATGGTTGGGTGAGTGGCAAGTCTACTGTGAGTGAGAGGTTTTTGTGGTGAGGGCCTGATTAGAAAGAACTCCCATTAATGCTGTTACGGGCCACGAGATACAACTTATTTGGACGGGGGGAAATGAGAATGGGAATGAGGAGGAACACATGGTTATGTCTGGTTTTGATCAGCCCTGGTGAGCCGGGGTGGTGGAGGAGGCAACAGAGATGTCAGCTTTTGGATGTTTGTTCCGAGCCTATCAAACAAGATGGGCCAAAGCTAAAAATGATGGTGCTGGAGCTAAACTTTACTGGGGTTCACAGCACTGGGGGGTTCGGCTTCCATGAACGCTAGAGCAGGACTATCAAATTCTGCTCATTCACACGTGGCCATTCTACGCTTTCATTAGGAAAGAGATGCACAGGGGAAGCAGAATTTGTTCCAAGTTACGTCGCTGGACTTTCCTTTCTCTTTAGCTTACAGGAAACTTATGAGGCTAAAAGAAATGAGTTTCTGGGGGAACTGCAGAAAAAGGAAGAGGCGATGAGGCAAATGTTTGTCCAGAGGGTCAAGGAAAAAGAAGCGGAGCTGAAGGAAGCTGAAAAAGAGGTGAAAACTGCAGTTCTTGTCTCTTTGTGGTTGTGAGTGATAGATCCACTCCCAAGTAGGCAGCTGCTGCCAAAGCACTTTCTGCAGAGTGTGCTTTGGGCCTTTCTCAGCAGAGTCAAACATTTAACTTAGGGACATTACGGCGTTGATCCTGTAGGACAAAACTGGACTGCAGTGCTTGCAGGCTGTACAACTTACTGCAGTAGGAAAGTGCCACGTTCTTTGGTTTTGCTGGACAGCTGCCGTATGCCAAAAACTCAAGGAAAGGAGCAGAGTCTGTGATGTAAGCTTGTTATATGAAAAATATACACAAGCCACTGCCTTTGCGTTGTGAAGGAAAGTAAATCCTGTGATGTAAGATTAAAGGCATGACACAGCTGCAATCCAGTTGTTGGCATTTGCACCAAAACCCATTAATTTACGAACCTCTTAAGGAGGACTAAGGTGGAGACCCCTGGAAAGAAAAATAAATGGATTAAAATGTTTTTCTACTATTTCACTCTCCAAAATCTTCATTCTTAGTCTGTGCAATGATGCATTATTCGAACATTGCCTGGTTTGTAAGCTTTGGAAGGAGGCTCTTTCCTCCCCTTTGTCTATGCAGTGTCAGCCTAGGGCAGAGGGCCTAGTAGTATCAGTTATAGAGACTGACAGAGACCGTTTCCAGGCCACAGATCTCGTGGGATCCTTCCACCTCTCTCTCTTCCTGAAAACGGAGCATCTGGTAGCGCTGGGTCCTGCTCACCTTTCTCCTTTCCCTCTAGCTGCATGAAAAGTTTGATCGTCTAAAGAAGTTACATCAGGATGAAAAAAAGAAACTAGAGGACAAGAAGAAGTCTCTGGATGATGAAGTAAATGCATTTAAACAAAGGAAGACCGCAGCTGAATTGCTTCAATCTCAGGCTCAGCAGGCTGGAGGATCGCAAACTCTTAAAAGAGATAAGGAGAGAAAAAAGTAAGTTGCTAACCTGCTGGTATTTGCTTCTCAGTAGTGGTTCTCTTTTACTGTTTTCCTGGGTGTCCATAGCTCTCTCCCAGCCTAGCCAGTCCTCATCAGGGGAAGGTTTGCAGGTGGATTCAACCGCTGGTAAGGCTGAGCAGTAGCTGGAGGCAGTTTACCTCTGTCTGTCATCCCGAAGAGCAGGGAGCAGAGTACTAACCTCCCTCATTGCTCACTGACAGCATAGGAGAAGGTGAACTCATTTCTCTTCCCTTAGATTCCCTGCTCCTCCCTTAGTCTGTTAGTGCTGGTAGGGGACTGGGACAAACTTCGGTGCGTGGGAGTGCTGCACGTCCAGGACAGTGTGTGGGTAACAGGGGTGTCCCACTCCCCGCAGAGGAGCATCTCTTATCTCAGGATCTTACTACTTTAATTAGGAGAAAACTTTTCCTGTTTCCTGAAATTATCCAGGAAACCTAATAGCCTTGAGTTGTGGCATCTGCAAAATGTGATGCAGCAGACGAGTCTCAATTTCTTGTCAGTGGGCTGTCCAGCCTTTAATCAGCTTCTTTTGTCCTTCGCAGAAACAGTAGGAGTTAAAGCATGGCTTTAGTGGGGGTTCCCCATGGCTGGGACAGGTGAGACAGGAGCCAGCCCCTCGGTGGGGTCCTGTGGTCTGGGCCGTCTGCAGTGCCTACGCCAGGCTCTTAGTGCTCCACAGTCACTGCCGAGCAGCCCAGCGGCGCGTGCCGAGGCAGTTCTCCCGTTTCACCTAGTGATGAGCAGCAGTTCCTCTTCTCACTGTGGTGTGTTATCTGCAGCGGAGTGCTGTGCCACCTTAGCATGTGTACAAACAGCGGTGTGCAGATGAGCAAGGGGCTGTTTCTGTCCTGCCGCCACAATCCCCTGTCTGCGCAACCCCCGATCAAATGCAGAATAAATCCAGTCTGCACTAGGCAGTCCTAAGTACAAGGAGGAGTGCTGTTAGTATGGACAATATGGCAAGTGCCCAAAGAGGTGACAGGACTGTTTTTCAGGAAAAATAGCCGATGGCTGTTAAGCTTGCAATCAAATGAGGCAGGAGAAGAAAAACCTAATAACCAGAATCAGATCACATTTTAGTCTTTTTAGTTTAGAGCTGGAGCTGCTTCCATGTCAAAATTCTTTTGTGATGAGCAATCAGCACTCCTGCTCTTTTCCTGCTTGTCCGTTCCTTTTTCCACTGCATGTTTTGATTGGCTCTTTTGAATTACCTTCGGGGGATTTTTAATATCTTTTCATGCTGAGGAGTCTGAGACTGACTGGGGACAGACTTCTCTCCCCAGCCTGGACTATTGAGGAGTACACAACTGAGCTCCTTTCCTGCTTAGAGTCCTCAGGCATCTGCACACTGAGGACTGCAGACTTTTGCCCCAAGATTAGTCAGGGTCAGGAATGTAGAAAAGGGAGATGATGTGTCCTGTAGTCAGTAGTTGTGGCCCAAGTTACACTCTTCTCTTGAGAAGCAGTTCTGCTCTCAGAAGCACTCCTTGATACTGAGCAACATTTGTGTGAAAAAGCACTTTGACATTTAAGTTTGGGGCACAGAAAACTCCATGAAAGCTGTACATCAGTGCTTGAGCCAGGCTTGGGAAGATATTAGGAAGCCACTGTCTCCTCCAGCAAAATAGCTGTGTTATAAGTGGTGATGTTTGCCTTGCTCTGTAACTTCTCCAGTTGTCCTTAATCATGTCTTTCAATATTTAGATCATAAATTTCTTTAACAATCCATGAATTTCACAAGCAGTAGCTTAATTATATCTTGTTTAATAGTGGCTGGCAGTAAACTAGCCTTTTTCTTTCACAGATGACTCTCTTAAACCCAAGCTCCGTAGTTTGCACTAATCCTGACTTGATTTCTTTTTTTATTGTCATATCATCATCATCGTCATCATTAGTTCTTACGTGTATGCTATTTTACAGTTAACTGCTGTTTGGCTGCATGGTGCATGAAGCACGTTGCCCTGGTAAGCGTCATTAACTAATATAGACCTCACAGTGGGATCAGTTACAGTTCTGAAAAAGGCAGACCCCATGCAAGGCCTGAAGTCCATAAGGGTTGTCTCTGCCTTCTTCTGCTTTCACCCTTGCTATAGACGCTCCACCAGTCTGTTTCTACGTCTGTAGTTGTAGAAAAAGGATGCAATGGAGAGTGTCTTTAAAGATTCTGCAAAGTAAAATGCGTGGAGATTCAATATTTGGACATTAAACATGGATAAAATAAGGATCAGGGCCTCTTCCTTTTAAACCTGTCCAGCACTTTGTTGGCTCTGTCTTTTTTATTCCAAGTCTCCTAGAAGTATGATATTCTTTAACCACTTAGGCCATGCTGATAACTATGGCAACAATTGCTATGGTAATGTGGTGGTGAAGACAGGAACCAGCTAGCTGATGGAAAATTAAGTTCTTTTCTCTTCCTTTTCTCCTCCTTCCCTCCCACCCCTTCAAGTTGTAGTGCTAAGTCGTGGTTACAGTGCAGGTGAAGGATGTAAGAGTAGTTTCTATCCCCCCTTCACACGCTAACAGATGGTAAAATCTGCCAAAGCTAGAGCTTTCATTTGCCCCAGAGCCCAGAGAATCGCAAAACATTGTGCATGAGTGTGTGTGCATATGTATGTGTTTGGGGGAGCTAAAGGAACTACTGCCGAATAACCAAACCAATATTCAGCAGCTGACTGACTGTAGTTGCTGATTGTCCAAAATAATGCGAGATTGTGTGTTGAGCATTTAGCAGATAATGAAGGCTGTGAATACAGGCTGAGCGACGTTACGGCGTTTTTAAGATCTGTCAGCTGGGTCTCCCCATGGTTGGATATTCAGTTGTAGCAGACAGACACAGACCCACACCTCTGGGAGCTATGCCAAGCGTGCCCATGGTTAGGGTAAGGCTAAGGGTAGAAGAGGGCTGTATTGAAGATGTGGCTCTAGAAAGCCTGCAAGAGCGCTTTGTCTCTGAATAGGGCCAGCATCCGAGTCCCCGAGGAGTTTTGCCAAGGCGTGGAGAGTTCCCGCTGGAGCAGAGCCCTGGGTTGGCAGCGTTGCGCTGTGAGTGCCCCTACTCCAGCTGCCCCCGCTCTGTCCGAAACATCGCAGCCTTCACGTGAGCGTGGGCGTGAGGTGGACGCAGTCATGGGCAGGCTTGTGCAACAGATAAGGGTGCCGGGAAGGGTTAACAAAGCCTGCCGTAAGCGAGCGTCTCCAGTGCAAAGTGCCCACATCTGTTGTCAAACGGAGGCTCGAGGCTCGTCTGAACAAAGCTGCGTAGGAAACGCACCTGCCTGGCAGGAAAGCAGCATCTTTATTAGGGTTATTAGTTAAATCGCTAATGACAGCGGGCTACTTATAGCTGGGCTGAATGTGTTTAAATGAGCCTTTTTAATTTGCTGTTGATTCTCTGGTGAGAGGAAAAGGAAAGCTCCTACAGGAACGTCTTGCTTCTCGACAGAGCAGCAAAACCTATAATCCGAGAGGAGGGAGACAACGCTCCCCGAGGCAAGAGAGCCGCAGGCCTCTGAGAGCGGACCTGCTGGAACAGCAGCCCCTAACGATAAATCTCCCTAAAAACTCAGCGTTTAGGCCAACCTTCCCAGCAGACAAGCTTCCTAGGATTTACATTCTTTCTAGGATCCAGTTTCAAAATAACCTGCATCGGTGTGGGCGAGGGGCCTCCGAGTGTCTTTCGGGGAGGGCGAGGGGCCTCTGAGT